CCCACATTTCATCTATCTCAGGCCTGAAGGCAAGGTTGAAGTCCCCTTTTCTCCTTGTGGGCACTGTAGATTGTCTGGAAACTCCATTCTAAATTCCCTTTCTCAGGTCTTACTGCATGCCAGTGGCTAGATAACTAAAGCTCAAATGTCCCAGTTTCCCTTACAGTTCAAATTCCATACCAACCTAACTTTGACACATCTGATACATCCGCTCAACATTACAAAAAATTTCCTGTCAATGGTCAGGGCTAAAGAAGTGTGGTCCCGGAGTCAACAGCTATTGATGTTGTTTCCCCAGTTTCCTTATCCTCTATGTTGTTCTGAGAGCCATTTCATGTCTGCATGTGGAATACAGGAGATAAAGCCATGGGCTCCCTTGGGATGGAAAGAACCTACAGAGAAACTTTCTACATAAAGTTGGTTATAACCTCAGTATGAGGGTAAACGAGAAACCTGTTTCTCAGAAGGGCACACAAGGAAACTTGCCTATCTCAACTTTGATATTCAGTAGAAGGAGAGGAAAAAACATCTACCCCTCACGATAGAGATTTTCTTAAACAGTACAACACACAAAGGACAGAACTAATACATTCATAAATTATGAATGTCTGTTCAACAAAGACACCACAAGAATGAAATATAAGTTACATAAACTGGAAAAAATAGTTTCAACACAATAACCAAAAAGAGATTAGTATTTAGAACACAGAATCTCCAAATATCAAAAACAAAACATCCTAATAGAAAAACAGGCAAGAAAAGAAGACATTTTGCAGAAAACACACTTGACCTCTGAGAATGAGATGTTAAATTTTGGTGAAGATATAAAATCACAACAATGCTGAACTATTGCTGGTGAGACTGTCATTTGAAAACAGCATTGTCCAGTAAAGTTGAACATGCACATACCCTATGATGCTGGAACTCCATTTAATGTGTCCATGTGTGCAAAGATATGCATAAGAAAGTTCACAGCAGCACTGATTATAAGAGCAAGACAAACAGATGTAAGTCAAATGACTATCAACAAAATGAATTATGAAGTTTGAGATATATTAATATACTGGAATACTATACTGGAATACTATACAGAAGTGGAAATGAACTAAATCTACACTCGACATGGTAATACTGAGTAAAAACAGCAATTTCCAGAATAATCATAGTGTAATTTCATTTACAGAAAATTCAGTAACAAAACACTTATTACATATATGGCTTATTTTTAACTGTATAGTTACTTTAATAGGTGATAAATTTAGCAACCTTTCAGCACAGTACTGATAAAATTACTTTGGGGTTCTAATAATTTGTTCTGTGGTTTCCTTTAAAGGATCCTTTCATGTTCATTTTTAATATTTTGATAATGTATACAGATTTATAAAATATAAAATATGTTTAAAGGGAACTTAAAGAAAATGTCAATATGCCCACTACCAAGATTAAGAAATTTAACATTAACATTACTTTAGAAGCCCCCCTCAGAGTCACTGCTTATACTACTCCTTCTGCTAAGACTTAACCATGATATTGAATTATTTCTTCATTTTAAAATAATTTGTGTGTATTTTATATAATATAGTATATAATTTTTACGTATTTTTAAATTACATATGCAATTTTATATAAATGAATGTATTTTTATTTTATAAGGTATTTTCCATGGTTTACATATTTTATTATGTTTATACATTTTATTTTACATATAAATCTACAGAGACAGAAATAAGATTGGTAAGCTGCCTGGGGATGGGAGCAGGACAAAGAGGCCTGAGGAAACTTTATGGGGTAATGAAAATAGCTCAAAATTGTAATATAGTGGTGGTTGCACAACTAAAAATCATTAAGTTGTTATCTAACAATGGGTGAATTTTATGGTCTACAAAGTATACTTTAAAATCTGTAAGAAACAAACATATATATGTTCACATATTACCTTTTCTGCGAAGTCTTCTGTGACCAGCCCAGGCAGAATTTTGTTTGCATTCCTCTTTTAGAGTACTCCTCAAA